TATATATATATATATATATAATTTTTTTTTCAACAGCCATTTATTCCACTGCAGGACATAAGCCTCTCTCAATTCAGTATTGAGAGGTTATATAGCAGTGCCATCCTTGCCTGATTGGATGCCCTTCCTAATCAACCGCGGTTCGGCGCATTAACACTTGTGCCACGGCGGTGACTTCCCATAATTGGGAGAGACTTCAATGCACACCACCCCATCCTGGCTCCCTGCAGGGCACCGTATGCGGCTGGCCATCACATATCCAACGTGCTTGAGACGTTCCCCGAGATCACTCTCCTCAACACTCAAGAGCCAACGCATGTCAGAGGTGGGGTACTAGACCTTACCCTGGTCACTGCGACTCTGGTAGAGAGGATTAGCTGGTGTATCGATGAGACTGTCACAAGCGACCATTACGGCACAGTTACCACACTCATGGATGCAGGGCCAGCCAAAATCCCACGACCAAATCCAAGATGGAAAACAGACAAGGCCAACTGGCAGGTGTTCCAGAACGCCTTGGCCCATTGTCTGAGAGGCAATGAATCCACACAAGGCGAAAATATGGACGTGCTCGAAGCCAGACTGGTAGAAGCCATAAACCAAGCAGCCTCACTGACCATACCCAAAACTCGGCCCGGGTCCAGGTGTCACAAGGACGCCTGGTACTTTAGCGACGAGATCAGGGAGGTCAACCACAGAGTAAACATGTGCCGCAAACTATTCCGAAAGCAAAGAACCCCTGACAACCTTGCACTGCTGAGGGAGGCTGCCAGGGATGCCAAGGAAACTGCCAAGAGAGTCAGGCAGGAAAAGTGGCTGGAATGGTGTGAGTTCTTCGACCACCAAACCACCCTCTCAGAGCCGTGGCATCGGGTCAGGCGAGCTACCAGCCGCTCAGCCCCGAGACGAACGCACTACGACCCTCAAGCAGAGGCAAACAGACTGGTGCACGAGTTCTCTGCGAGAACAAGCAGCAACAGTCTGCAAGCGAACTGAGGGCCAAACAAGAAAGCCTGAAAGCAGACAGACTTGCTCAGATAAGAGAAAGGGCAGCCGAACCCGATAACTCAGACGTTATCTTTTCTCTGAGGGAACTAAGAAAAGCCTACAAATTCAGTTCCAACACAGCCCCGGGCTCTGATGGGATCATGTACCACATTATCTCCCGCCTAGGACGAGAAGGTAAACTTGCACTTCTGCAACTCATCAACAAGTCCTGGGAATCTTCCTCTCTACCGCAGAGCTGGAAGAGGGCTACCATAGTTTCCATCTCAAAACCAAAGGAACCAGGGAAGTACCGCCCCATCTCTCTCCTCAGCTGCCTGGCCAAGACAGCCGAGAGGATGGTACTAAACCGGCTCCTATGGAAAATGGGACCCCAACATGGACACCTCCACGGGTTCACCAGGGGAATGAGCGCTGCACACAGCATAGCCACACTCTTGAGCACAGTCGGCACAAGCCCAGCCGTGGTAGTATTCCTTGACCTGAAAAATTCCTTGGCCTTCGAATTAGCAAGTCCTCTTGCCATTCAGGAGTGCCTGACCCAGAAGGGAATCAGAGGAAAGCTCTTGGCTTGGATAGGTGACTACTTTAGGAACAGAACAGCCAGAGTAAAGTTCCAGGGTCACCTATCGCAGCACATGCTACTTGAAAATGGGACACCACAGGGTGGGGTTCTCAGTCCAACCCTATTCAACACACTAATGTCCTGTATCCTCAACATAAACCTCCCAGTGGGGTGCAAAATCATCTCTTATGCAAATGATCTTGCTATCACCTCCATTGGGACACAATGCCTAAGTAAAGCCCAGCATTGTCTGGACCTTGTGTCTGAGGAGTGCTGCAGGACAGGACTTAAGATCTCTGCAGTCAAATCTAAAGCCATGGCTCTGAGAAAGCAAGTTCAAGGCACAGGTCTGAAAATCCAGGGAGTAGACTTGGAATGGGTCCCATGGTTCCAATACCTTGGGGTATGGGTAGACCGGACCCTCTCCTTCCGGCAGGAAGACTGACCGTCATGAGAGCAATGACTGGGAGACACATAGGAGCCAGACACAAAGTACTAAGATCCTTCTATGTACATGTTGTCAGGCCCATTGTGGATTACGCCTCAGTCGCTCTAATTGGCAGAAAGCAAAAATACAGAGAAAAACTGGAAACAGTCCAAAATGAAGCTGCCAGAATCATTCTGAGTGCCCCGAGGTGGTCAAAGGTCCCCAACCTCCTGATGGGACCCATTCCCCCTGGACTCATGAATCGATCTATTGGCAACCAATTTCTTTGCAAAGGTCATCCAGACTCCCAGGAACACAAGCCTAAGACAAAAACTAGTCAGACGCCTGGAACAAGACAACAAACTGTTTGCAAACAACTCGTGGCTGTCCCACACAGCCAGGGTGTTGATAAGCTATGAGCTCAAAGAGCAGTTTCTCGCCAAGGGCGTGGACTCCCCCCACCCTGAATTTGTCGAAGCCCCGCCGTGGGCACAAACCTCGATAGAGTTCTCAGTAATGAGATTACCACTGAAAAAGAGTGAATATCCCACGCCTGGCCTAAAGGCAGAGACCTACAGGGTCATTTCAGCCATCACCCCTTCGGGTAGTAGAACGTACTACACGGATGGATCGGTCGATCCAATAAACCACACTGCAGGCGCTGGCTTTGCAGCAATCCATGAGGGTAACCGACAACGATCATGAGAGCCCTATCCCACATGTTCCTAAGGGAAGGACACGTAGTCATACATACTTACTCTAGGGCAGCCATTGACTGTCTTCAGCATAGCTCACCCAAAAACAACATCTACCTCCTAACCACAATACTGACAACAGCCCAAAGAATACTGGCTCAAGGTAGAAGAATCATTATTAACTGGGTCCCTAGCCATATTGGCATCAGAGGGAATGAGCTTGCTGACAGACTAGCCGTCTCTTGCAGGGGTATGCCCTCTAATCCCATGATCATTAAGCCAAGCCGTAATTTACTTCGGAGGAAGTGTACCGGTGTCGCCAACTCCTTCCTCCTGCAGCTTCACAGAGAGGCAACGAGATCCTCCCCCTCGGCCAGATGGTGCTCAGAAGCAACAGGCTATGAACCACTGGCACTCTCTGATATAAACAACAGAAGTAACGAAGTCATTCTTCACAGAATGCGCCTAGGCTACCACTGTAAATGACAGATAGTTGAAACCATTGTCCGTGAGGAGAGGTGTTGCATGCATTGCGACGAGCCGAACGCCACACTTATACATTACTTAGAGAATTGTGTACACACACAATTCCTGAGACAGGGACCGCCGACAACAGCCGCTGTGCTGGTAAACAGATTTTGCGATTCGCTTACACCATGGCAGCAGGAGCGCCTGCTGGCAATCCCACCGCCACGGTAAGCGCCGAGTGTCACAGAATAAAATGAGCCAGCCCTAAGAAGCTGACACATGGCGGGCCATAGCCGAAGGCCCGGGCGAAGTTAGAACTTCGCAAATCGCACTGCTGCTGGTGACTTCCCCTACGACACCTGCGTTTGACATCTCAAGGCGATATGTCGTTTTCTCGGGCTCGAGCAAGCAGTCAGAGCGCAGGCATTTATATACACACACACACACACACACACACACACACACACACACACACACACACATATATATATATATACACACACACACACACACACACACACACACACACACACACACACACACATATATATATATATATATATATATATATATATATATATATATACACACACACACACACACACACACACACACACACACACACACACACATATATATATATATATATATATATATATATAAATATATATATTCTACACACACACACACACACACACAATATATATATATACACACACACACACACACACACACACACACACACACACACACATATATATATATATATATATATATATATATATATATATATATATATATATATACACATACACACACACACACACACACACACACACATATATATATATATATATATATATATATATATATATATATATATATATATATATATATATATATATGTATATATAAACACGCCTGTTTCCCAGAGGCGAATCTCTACCAGAGGTTCAAGGCCATCAACCCTCGTCTGCCTCACTTTCATGGGCTTCCCAAAACCCATAAGCCAGCTGTGCCTCTGTGCCCCATCTTCTCTTCCCAGGGATCTGTGACACATACTCTGGCAGCCTGGCTGGCGAAGTCTCTCACTCCCCTTCTCATCACCTTCCCTCCTGGTCACCTCCGCCACTCTCAGGACTTCATCTCCCCTTTCCGTGGAGTCTTGCCGGCGACCATGATGAGCTTGGATGTCGACTCCCTGTTCACCAAGATCCCGTTTAATTACGTCCTCGCTTTTCTTCAGAGAGTCTCCCCGCTGAGGATCCTCGTCTCCCTCTGCCCACCGACGTCTTCCTCCAGCTGATTCGTCTTTGTGTGGTCTAATTCCTTTTCCTTTGAGGGTCGCTTCTGCTCCCAGACATTCGGTGTTGCCATGGGTTCTCCCCTCTCTCCGGTCTTGGCTAACCTGTTTATGGAATTCTTCGAGTCTGAGCTTCTCCCTTCCATCTCCCTTCGTCCATCGGTTTAGCTGAGGTATGTCGACGACGTCTTTGCTCTCTGGCCTCATGACCCTGCCCTGTTCTCGGACTTCCTAGAGCTAAACTCTCACTCTCCTTCCATCCGTTTCAAGGTGGAATGGGAGGTTGACAACAAGCTCCCCTTCTTGAACCCTTAGTCCATCGCTCTGTTAACCACATCTCTTTCTCCATATACAGGAAGCCTATGCATAGTGCTATATACATACTCTTCTTCTCATACCATCCTCTCCATGTAAAGAGATGTGTTGTCACCTCGCTATTCCTCCGCATCTGTGACCCCCTGTATCTGGATGGAGGGATCGACATCCTGCCCTTCATCTGCCCGTCCTCAGTTTGCCCTAGACTGAGGAGATCTACTC